CTCTAATGTTCCTGGCACCTGGGCCTCCGACAACCTAATCGCCAACAACAACAGCTGGACTGTTACGGTTCCCAGCTCCATTGCTGCTGGCAACTACGTCATGCGCCACGAAATCATTGGCCTCCACTCCGCTGGAAACAAGGACGGTGCCCAGAACTACCCTCAGTGCATCAACCTTAAGGTCACCGGTGGTGGCAGCGACAAGCCTTCTGGTACCCTTGGCACTGCGCTCTACAAGGACACTGACCCCGGCATCCTTGTCAGTATCTACCAGACACTGAGCTCCTATGTCATTCCTGGTCCTGCTCTCTATTCTGGCGCTTCTTCTGGCAGCTCCAACAACGCTGGTTCCGCTTCTGGTTCCGCTTCTGCCACCGTTACTAAGACCTCTACTGCCGTCCAGACCAGCTCTGCGACTGTCTACCAGCCCTCTACTACCACCGAGGCTGTCACCGTCACCAGCACTCCTGCCCAGCAGAGCTACGTCCAGGCTCCTACCACCACCCCTAGCTCCACTACCGGCAGCTCCAGCTCTGGCTCCGGCTCCACCTCCACCTCCACCTCCAGTGCCACTCTTCCCAGCGGCAGCAGCCTCACCCAGTACTTCAACTCTCTCAGCGCCGAGGAGTTCCTCAAGGTTCTCAAGGAGACCTTCTCTTGGCTGATTACCGAGAAGGTGCACGCTCGTGATCTCTCTGCCTAGATCAAAGCACTTCGAACGAATCGATAAGCCTTTCCCTGCACATTTAATTGTTGTGCGTCGCACCTCTGACGAGTTTTCTTATTCAAACCTATATGGGATCGGGGATCCTTTTTGTACTTTAGAAGCAACACAACCATTGGAGCTCTTGCTCTACGCTGATATCTTTTTGCTCTTGTTTTACATCTGTATTATTAACAGTAGAATGCTTGTAAAGTAAATCTACTCTGGTTAGCATATCTATTAGACATTAATGTTCTAACTTGTTGTTCTCCCAACGACCTTCACTGTCCCTTTAATTATTATCTTCACTGTAAGTTATTTAATGTATCTACCATCCTCCACAGGACATATAAGGAGCTTTCATTCTATCTGTATAGGGAACCATGATTTCCATTACCTGACACATCTCTCCTTCATCTACTTCTTTCAAAACAATTACATCAAGCATGGAGTAGCAAACGGAGAAGTTGCCCTTGGCTTGCTATTCCCTATTTTCTCGCTAGGCCACATTTCAGATAGTTCATCTCCGTCTCCTTTAACAGGTACCAGGATCTCGAGGCTATGTTAAACATGCTCTAGTGTAATACGCCTGGACGGCGTCCATTTGAATGATCTTGAGTTGAAAGTGATAGTTTGGAAAATGTTGCAAAGAGACGGCGGAAGGACATTTTGTAAGGAATTGTGCAAAGCCTTCGTCCTACTTATATGCAAACGTCACTTCATAATGAAGACGAGTATACCTCTGGTATGCCTGGTCCAGTGCGTAGAGAGAAAGACGGCAAGCTTGACCTCAGAAGCGGGGAAAAAGCGGCCGATTATTGTTGCGGACAAAAACCGAACTGACATCAACTTTTCCTTTTTGTTCCAGCGTCTTTTCTACCCTTCTTCCACGAGACTCTGTTGTGAGCAGTCTGTATTTCTCAGTATCAATCAGCTTGAGACTGACTCATATCATATTTCTGGCCCCGTCTCACACCACCATGTTCAAGAAAAAGCCGACTGTACGTTGTGCCCCTCCCCCGCATTTCTCCCCTCGCTGCCAGACTGTTCAAGTCGCAGAATGATAGCTTCATACTTACTTCTCGAACTGTAGATCAAGAATCTTGCGCCCTTACGATCCTCAGACCGCCGCAAGATCGCTGACCAAATCATCAGCGACTACAATATCAGTATTCCGTCAGCTGCACCAGCCGAGGATGACTCCAATACTCCTAACACGTCGAACCAAACCTCACCAAACATCACAGCGATCCGAAACTCCCTTCTCCCGGAAAACTCGCTTTCTGCTCGGTTCAGCACCACCGCAGGGCCCCAGCTCCGAGAGGTCCAAGGCACAGTTTACGTAGGAACACATCCTGAGGGCGAGGAACGCATTTTATGGTTCAGGGTGGAACATGGGCTCGGTGCCGATGGACGATTCTATCCCACGGTTTACACATTATGGCACAATCCCAAGCTTGTGCCCTTGCTTCACACACCGGAAATGGTCATGCAGAAGCTCCGTGGCGGCGCAGACTTGATGACCCCCGGACTCGCGGATGAACCTCCTTTCCCTGAGCGCGCGGTCAAAGGTGCTGTTGTCGCTGTGGCTGGTTTGGATCGACACACTGTCCCGTTATTTGTGGGTGTCTGCGAAATTGATATTGCGGGACTTGGGGAGGTTCAGGGTACGAAAGGACATGCCGTCCGAGGCGTACACTGGGAAGGTGATGAGCTGTGGGCCTGGAGCTCGTCTTCTCGTCCCGGACAACCTGCTCCTGAACACCTGGCTGGGTGGGATGCGGAAGCGGGCGAGGAAGACGTGGAGGAAATTGAGGAGCGAGTCAATGAGCTCTCCTTGGGCAAAGATCAGCAGACGCAACCTGCTGCGGAGGTGCCTCAAGCCGAAACTCTTGAGCAGCAGCACGAAGAGGGTGCTCCCGTTGAGGAAGCGAAAGAACCCTCCACAAAAGGTCGGCGCCCACAGTGTCCGTCTCAGTATTTTGTTCTGAAACTGACCAACCTGCAGAGATCGATGAGGCTTTTGAGAAAGCCTTCCTTTATTCTCTGTACAAGCTTAAACAGGACAACCCCGCCGCACCGAACCATGGCCTGTCCCTTCCCGTACAACCATCCGCCCTTGTCTCGAACATGCTTACTCCTTACCTCCCGATTTACTCTCCTCAGCAGGCTCAATACTATCAGATCAAAAAGACAAGCTGGAAGAATGTCAAAAAGTTCATCAAATATCTGGATAAGCAGCGTCTCGTCAAATCCAAGGACCGCAGCGGACAAGAAACTGTTATTCTCGATGTGGATTTCAACGACCGCCGCGTCGAGCAATTTGTTCCTTACAAACTACCATCAAAGAACGCCGTTGAGAATGCGGGAAAGCCCGTCCCCTCCGGAAACAAGATGCCTGCAACTTCGGAGGGAGACCCTTCCGTCGGACAGACAATAACTGTCCAGACTCTTTATCGGCCAACGGGAAAGCTTACCCCGACAATCTTCCCAGCTCTTTCGAGTGGCGACCCAAGAAACTACTACAAGTATTCTGAGGTATCCAACCGTTTGGACGAATACATTCAGTCTCAAAATCCGCCCATTGTCTCCAACGAGAACCGCCGGATCATCTCGCTCAATCCATTCCTCGCAAACACAATTTTCACATCTTCCACGGCCGAGGACAAGACCACCATTGCACGTGGCATGACGACCCGGGATGGCCTCTTGAAGCGGATCGTGGAAGACTCGGCGTTCCTAACTCCACACTATGTCATCCTCAAACAGGGCCAGACCCTGTCCGATGTGAAACCGAAAGCAGGTGCAACGCCCAAGGTCAACCTTGTTCTCGAGAAGAGGACAGGTTCGAAAACTGTCACCAAAGTTTGGAATTTGGAGATTTTCGGTATAGTCCCTAGTCTGCTGGCTGAAGAACTGCAGAAGAAATGCGCTAGCAGTACCAGCGTTGCCCAGGCCACTGGAGCCACCAAAGGCGTGATGGAGGTCCTGATTCAAGGCGACCAAAGGAAGGCTGTGGAAACAGCGCTGCTCCGACGTGGTGTCAAGACGCAGTGGATTGATGTGGTGGATAAGACAAAGAAGAAGAAATGAACCTTCTGAGGGAAGGCATATTGTATTTAGCGATTGGATAAAGCAATGAGCAATACTTGGGTATACCAAATGGCTTGAACGGAAGAATTAGACACGTATCTTCTTCAGAGACGTCCCTTCATAACGGTAGATTTGACTTCCAGGCTCTTATCATGAAACTCCCTATAGTCATTCCGACAGTGAGATTGCTCCATCAGGCCATTTGTACGAGGTGCTCACTTGTTCACCGATTCTAGCAGCCGCAGTCGACCCCGGGAATCTTTCAGCACAAGGAGGCTCACATCTGAGTTTCAAAGCATCGCAGCAAGCAAGTTGCAACAGACCAATTGCCCGTTCCATCAACGGAAGATCATTCAAAGCCGTCCAAAATCAAATGATTCCACCAATCGGCGATAACCCGATTCCCCGACCCCTCCCGGTCCGAGAAGCATACGAAACATTCCGTCCATCTATATAAGAGCCCGCTGTTCCCAGATCTGGTCGACTAATCAAGACAATAGATAAATTGATAGAGAAGTCTAAACCGAGGAAATGCCAGTCTACCACATCGGTGCGTGTAACCCCTTTCTCCGACTAAAAGCGGATGATTGACCAGTGGCAGTTCTCGTCCGCCTCAAGCCAGGCGTCACCCAGGCCCAGCTCGCCAACTGGGCCACTGTTGCGGAGAGCATGGTGGGTAGAATCCCCGGCTTGGTTTCGATGAAGGCCGGGCAGCCGTTGCCTATCAGTGTTCCCCGTGCCAAGGGGTTTGATATGGGGCTTGTGGCTGTGATGGAGTCTCCCGAGGCTGTGGCTACTTATGCTACACATCCGGTCCACCTTGAGTTTGTTTCCACTACCAACATGTGTTTGTGTGTTTGAATGGGCTAATGAAGGACTGCAGGGTGTCGAAGCTGAGAGAGGAGTTGTGCGATGATACGCTGGCGTATGACTTGGAGTTCGAGAATTGATTTACGAGGGTATAAGTGCAAGGGGTAGAGGCTGAAGAGCCAAAATTCTATCATGACCATTTGCTAGATCCTGCAAAGCATAACCTCCAAGTATCAATGATGACAACAAATGATATCCAACGCCATTAAGAAACCCGCAGCAAAAGACGCAAGTGCTTTTGTTGTATCATAACAAATGGGAATAATCCATTAGCTCCGTGACGAAGGAAGGGTGGGACCACTCGGGAAAACTTGAACAGAAGAGGGCGAAGCCATTACTCCTTGGCATCGACCTTCTTGGCAGGATGCTCGCCGTTGGCAGCGGGCTCGTCCTCGCGGGTCCGCTTCTGGCCAGATGTAGCATCGTCGGCGGTGCTCTGCACGACGGGAACGCCACTATAAGCGGATTAGTCAAATGCTGCAAGACCAAGAGAAAGAAGCTATAACCTACCGAGCATCCTTCTGGACCTCACGGCGCTGCTCGCCCTGAGCCTTGCCAAAGCCGTTCTTCTGATCTTCTGCCCGGCGCTCGCGCCAGTCACGCTTGTCACGCTTGTCACCACCGCGGGGGCCGCCACGGCCGCGTCCACGGAAACCACCACGACCACGGCTGGGCTTGACGCGGCCGGCTTCGATGTCCCGAACCTTCTCCTCACAGTAATCTTTCTTGCTCTTGATGAGCAAATCTTGTCCCTTCCACTGGGGCTTAGGATCCAGAGCAAGGAATTCCTTCTGCTTCTCCTCAGTCGCGAACTCAACAAAAACGCTTCCCTTGAAGATGCGATCGTGTGTGCGGCGGAGACGAATTGCGTTGACTGGTCCGTAAGGGGCGAAGAAGGCCTCAATGTCAATCTGGGTGGTAGGAGTTTCCTCTCCGAAGCCCTTGGCGTAGATGCTACGGCTCATGGCCTGGTCTTCGAAAACCTTGGCCACGCTGGGGTCGGGGCTCTCGGTCACCGATTCAGGAAGAGGCACCTTGCGGCGCACGCAAGTATCGTTATCAGTCAGCTCGAGAGTCTGGGAGGACTTCAGAGCCTCAACAATCGCGCTGAAGGGCTGGAAACGACGCATGCGCTTGAAAGAATGAAGGAGTTCAAGGGGAACGGGGCGGTTGCTGCTTCCTCCCACCTTGGAAAGAAGGAACTTGTCCATGGGAAGGTTCGAGTCAGAGAAGTAGAATTCGACCTGCTTGCGGATCTCATCGTGGTTGTCTGTGACCTCCAGCGTGGAGGGATCAAACTTTACGTTGTTGCGACGGTTTCCACGGCCCCGTGTATCGCGCTCCTCGGTCTTGCCCTCCTTCTGCTCCTCAGCTTTCGCCGACTGTTCGCCGAGCTTCGCAGCGGCAGCTACAATGCGAGCCTCCTCTGCATCATCTGTGGGAGCTTCCCCCTTCTTCTCTTCTGCGGCCTGCTCGGAAGGCTTGGCAGCTTCCCCGGCAGTTTCGCCCTTCAGCTCAGCCAAAACGTTCTGAACATCCTTCTCGGCCTCAGCATTGGCGGCCACAGGGGTAACCTTCTGCTCGTCGGCCATGACTGCAAATTTATTCCGAGTGCTTCGACTCTGTACAGCGGAAAGAGAGAATGGGAAAAAGGGCCGCGCAGGTCCTGTACTCGATCAGACTAGGTCAGCATACAACGATTATCCTCGACTTCCGGATTCGAAACAAAAGAAGGGAAAAATGGATTTAAAGTTATTGAACAGAGGTGACGATAGATAAATGCGAGCCAACTCCGCGTAGTCCAAATCCAGGGTATGACTCCACGTGAGTCGCGCGAAGCGTAAGCAATGCACAACATAGTAGCCTTACCTCCAATCAAAAAGCCTTGTAGTCTAGGGGGGAAAAATGCAACTGTAGAAGAAATTTCAAGAAGACGCTTCTGCACACAATGAGTATCGGAAGAAAGAAAATCTTAAGGCGAATAATAATGCGCGGCGGGGGAAATTTTCTGAACACTGCGGAGCTTCAGCCACATGGAGAATTGAGGACTGTGGCGGATGCGGCCCCTAGTCCCGATACGATGATGGTACTCCATGGATACCTCAATTACGAGGCAGAAAGACGAAACCCTATTTGGAGATACGACGATAGGTAAGGTACGGATGCATACAGTACCTGAGTTCCAGTGGGCATCTCGGCTCCAAACTCATTCTTATCGACAATCGACAAAGCAAGAAGGCTTGAATCTTGCTTCCAGATGTCAAGGCATCGGATCATGTCTGCAAACCGTGCTACTGCCTTTTCTGCTTTACGCTCGCCGGTCCAGGCCCAGCATGGACGCTCTATCGCGAAGTCAGGGTGCCTCGTCGAGCGTGCCTTCCATATCGAAGCAACATGCCCTACCGATTTCGTACTGGCTCATGGGAGACTGTTGCCACAGGCGACCCTGAGTGTCTTTAATGTTGAGGAACTTCATGACTCTCGGGTGTCTGATTCATAATACATCATTACTTTGCTCAATTTTGGATTAAACACGAGTGGTTTGAAGAGTAGTGCTTGCTCCATCTTCTGAGGGCTCTCCAACCTGCGACTGCTCTGCTCGGTGCGCCGTTATTTATTGTCAGCTTGAGCAGATCATCTGGCGGCCCGGGCCTGCTCTATTCGCTCTCCAAGCACATCTTAACGTGAGCAGGTAACTAGCCCCAGCATCGAAGCGAAGGTCTACCAATCGACCCGTTAATCGATGGACAGCTAGGCCTCCAGCTGATCAAGCAAGCCAGCGGCTAGTGGTTGCTTATCGAAGCCCCAGTCAAACGTCTTGACTTTATTGCATTCTTCAACGCTATAACCGGACTTTGGAAGGAAGACCTACGTACAGCATCTAGTGATGGCTGAAAGTAGTAGTTCGGTTTCTCAGAACCCGTGGACCACTACAGACGTGAGTTTGTTCATCAGTTAAATGCACTAGATTTAATCTCACGAAAGCCTAGATAATATATCTTACGATCGTCTCGCCAATGGTACTGGCAGCATTCCTGGAATGGTTCCTCTGGATTGCTGCGTTCTTATACTGCCTTGCGAAGGTCTATCAAAAAGCAGATCACTGGAGTGTCAAATTCCTCGCGGTCACCATGATTGTCCTCTTCACATTACTGAGGTGAGTTTCAATATGACCAGCCTATCGAACTGATCATGCATGCTAATTTGGCACACAGGGGAATCTTTCTGCCTGTCATGATCGTGACCCTCCCCCTCCCAGCTCATTTGAGACAACGTTTCCCCGCTCAGATGGTACTTATACTGCAATGGTTCGCGTTCGGGATGTTTTCCGCGTTGCTTATAATTCCTTGGCTTTTGTGCGTCTACAGACTGGTGACACATTCGCCGGGCAGAACCAAGCGGATCAAGCAAGTATTGGATGACCGAACCGCTCCCAAAACGGTTGTTGTTATGCCAGTCTATAAGGAGGCGCCTGAAACGTTAATAAGGGCAATCGATTCTGTGGTTGATTGTGATTATCCAGCTAACTGTATCCATGTGTTCCTCTCTTACGATGGCTGCCTCATTGACGAATCCTATCTTCGGGTGATTGACCATCTTGGGATCCCAATTACGCTGGAGAGCTATCCTCAAAGCATAGACGTGACATACAAGGGCGCGAGAATTACGGTGTCTCGTTTCAAACACGGGGGGAAACGACATTGCCAGAAGCAAACGTTCAGATTGATCGATATGGTATATGCGGATTACCTGGAGCGTCACGACAACCTTTTCGTGTTATTTATCGACTCCGACTGCATCCTTGAACGTGTATGTCTGCAAAACTTCATGTACGATATGGAGTTGAAACCAGGGAGCAAACACGACATGTTGGCAATGACAGGTGTCATTACGTCGACCACGGATCGGGGCTCGCTCCTCACGCTTCTGCAGGACATGGAGTACGTCCATGGGCAACTTTTCGAGCGCTCGGTAGAATCTAGCTGCGGCGCTGTGACTTGCCTCCCCGGGGCTTTGACGATGCTCCGGTTTTCTGCCTTTCGTAAAATGGCCAAGTACTACTTCGCGGACAAAGCCGAGCAATGCGAGGACTTTTTTGACTATGGGAAGTGTCATCTTGGAGAAGATCGCTGGCTCACCCACCTGTTCATGGTAGGCGCTCGGAAGCGTTATCAAATCCAGATGTGCGCAGGCGCTTTTTGCAAGACCGAGGCGGTGCAGACATTCAGCAGTCTTTTAAAGCAGCGTCGGCGCTGGTTTCTGGGTTTCATAACCAATGAAGTGTGTATGCTGACTGATGTGCGGCTTTGGAAGCGTTACCCGCTGCTCTGCCTGGTCCGTTTTATGCAAAATACCATCCGAACAACTGCACTGCTGTTTTTCATCATCGCACTCTCACTTATAACAACATCGAGCAGCATCAATGACCTGCCCGTGGGGTTTATTGCCATATCGCTAGGACTCAACTACGTTCTCATGTTCTACTTGGGTGCGAAGCTCAAGCGCTACAAAGCTTGGCTTTTCCCGCTGATGTTTATCCTAAATCCCTTCTTCAACTGGCTGTATATGGTGTATGGAATTCTCACTGCGGGCCAACGTACATGGGGAGGACCGAGAGCCGATGCCGCCACCGCCGATGAGCATACCTCGCCTGAGGAGGCCATCGAACAGGCTAAGGCTCAAGGCGACGAGCTCAACGTCGATCTGACTACTTTCCGTTCCAGGGGGGATGAGAAGAGCGTTCCAATCCATCCCTCAGAGAAGATTGAAGGACGCTTCTCTGCACCAGAGCTCCCCGACAGTTGCTACTCGAACCGGAACGACTCCAACGCTGCTCTGGACGAGCTGATGACGCCTCTTCCCGGGGTGCCTCGGATAGGTATCCATGCACATCCGTCCTCTGACTCAGTCATAACCTCGGACTCGCTGAGCTCAATCCACCTTCCCCTTAAGGTTGAAGAGCTGACAGGTGATAATGACAATACGAAACCCTGTTTCGATCGGCAAACAGGGGACACGTCGAGTTTGCATCATGTGCAGAGCACTTGTTCTAACGGAATCATGACCATTGATTCATGCTCTTCACAAGAAGATGCTTTCGAGATGGTGAACAAGAGTCGGATATTGTCACCATCAGCTCATATCTTGCCGCACTCATCACAGCCCACGGAGTCATCATCCGGAGAGGATATATACCCACTTCACTTGCCAGCGCCACACGAACAAGAAACACGGTTTGCTCCTATCAATGCTTCAACCAGAGGTCCAATGGAAAGAAACACTCCAGAGGTACAGCGACCCCGCCGTAAGCTCCCAGGGATTCCACGGCCTATCAAAGCACAGAAAGATCCCGAAAGTATGGTCTAGGGCACTTGCACACGTCGTAAGGCATCTGTGTCTAAGCTCAGATGTCCTAGAGAAGCGGGTCCATGAACATTGATGGTCAGTCAAAAAGCTCCCACGCGTGGAGACTACCACTACGGTTTTAAGAGATTCGGTCAACCCTTGCAGAGCGATTCTGTTGCTTCCTTATCCTCTTATTTTGGAATTCTTCGAGAAACACTTTTTGTACTTCATGCTTTGTCGTCTGGCCTTATGTATGTCGCTTTGATAACAAAAGCAGCACACTCTTTTTAGATTAAACTTTTTTGCCTTATTTGCTTGGGTCGCAGAGTATATAACTTCTCGAGAAGAAGAAAGCATAGTCCTACCAACCACTAGCCAGAGACGACTTCCAGAGTAGCCGTAACTGAAGCAGTGGCAGTCTGAAGTTTGCAAGCTCTGCCTCCCCTCGCCAATTGCAACATTCAGACATTACGGCCTCAAGTACGAATTTCCATTCAGAGATACAAGGACGTCCAAGAGATCATAGTAGACTCGGTTCCTTCTGGTGAGGTCTTGACGGCAAGCCTTTCACTGCGCTGATTCCCTGCTGGAGAAAAGTCACAAATCTCTTGCCTTCGGTACCGCTCCGCTGCCTGAAACGGTAGGTTGACTTACATTGAGCATACTGATGCCAGTATTGCTGCCCGGGTTGCACGTACCCGTGGTCTTGAAGGAGACTGGCCGTTCTCTGCTCAAACCTGCCAATGCGGGACATAATGGGCAGTCGAGAGCTACGTGCTAAGGGGGTTATCTCGAGCTGAGTAAACAAATCGAAAACAACCGCGCGGTGCGAACAGCTAGACAGCTAGACAGTTTCTAATCGCGGGGATTGACCTTCGCTTCTTGTCGGCTGTGTCGCAAGGCTTCTTGACTATCGTCAGGGCACACTTGGGTGCCTTGGCCCAATCTTAGGAAGAAAGAGGCAGAACGCCTCCGGACATAATGCCACGCATGTGTGTTTTCTTCATGGCAATTCTCCCGGTGACAGCCTGGTTAGAGACGTCCAAAAGGACATGGACAAGTCATGCAATTATCGCTGCCAAGTTCCATTACCTGATGGTTAATAACAGTTTGCCTTGGCCCATCCCACTTCTTTGTTTACTGTTAGTCAAATCGATGATGATTGGTCAGGTGACTACTTATTTAAGGTAATCGATAAGGTGGCGGAACCCCGCCAAAAGCGGTGAGCCAAGGACAGTGATACTGC